TTATGAGTTGGATTTTATTAAGGAAAAGTAGGAATTTTAATATTTATTCTTTTAATCGACATTTTGATGAAGCGGAAAATTCGAATAATTTGGTTTTAACATTTTTACTTAGTGATGGTATTAATCATGGTAGTACAGTCTAAAATAATATACATTTTTCAAACATAACAACTAGCCCTTTTATTAATTTTTAAAAAAATAGAAATTAATGTTAGCTTGAGTATGAATTATGATTTTAATTATGCATATGACTAATGAACCTCATAAAAATATATTCGATTGTTTAGTAGATTTATTAATTGTAAAATGCGTGATATTTCAGAAATAGTGAGAAATAATGTTAAGAAATATAGTTTATAAAACATTATTAGACAGGAATCTATCAAAATTTTGAAAAGAGATGATAAAATACCTTTTTTTTCAAATATAGCTTTAAGTAGGTATAAATTTAAAAGAAAAAATATTATGAAAATGATTTAGTTTTTAAGATAGAATGAAGAATTTTTTTATTTAGTAAAAATAATTAAATATTATTTGTATTTTTAATATAAGATATTAAAATAGAATTTTATAATATAAAAAAAAAATATATTTAATTAAAAAATAATTTTATTTATTTATACAATTGAAAATTTACAATAAATACTTTAATTTTATTTTTTATTTATGTAAAAAAATATCTTTTTTATTTAACTCATAAATCTTCAATTTTTTATTTTTAATTGTTATTTTAATCAAATTATTTTTTATTTTATTACTATTATTATTCATGTAATTTTAAATCTTATTATTCATTTTATTATTATTATTATTTTTAAAAAGACTATTGTTCTTCATTTAATTGAACAGAAGAAAAGGCAAGTTAAACATATTCATTAAATTCAATTAGATTATTTTTATTTTAATCAAATTATTTATAAAATTATTACAATTCTTAGTTTGTTGGTAAATTATTATTATTATCATTTTAGGTAATTTATATTAATTCATCTAAATCTAAAACTCCATCTGCATTGGTATCGTATTCATTAAAAAGATATACCAAAATCTCATATTAAGAATCATTTAATTCAACATCTTAATTATTTATATTAACAAAAACACCAGATCTTATTTATTAAAATAAAAAAAAAAATAAAAAAAAAATAGCAAAAGAAATTTTCATTTATTTATATATAAATATAGAAAATTTATTATAATATACATATAAAATTATTGCTAAACATAAAAGTTAAATCTAATATTTTTAATATATAATAAATATAAATATAAAATCTAAAAAATATTAAAAAAAAACATTATATATTGTATATAATTTAAAAAATAAATTAAAATATATATTATATATATATATATAAATATAAATATATATTTTATTTATATAAATATATAAATATAAAGATATTAAATATATATTATAATTTAATTAGATACAAAAAATAAATATCTTTTTTTTATTATTAAAATAAATATTAATTAATTTGTTATAAAAAAATATTTATGTCAGATAACAAAATTATTTAACAAAAAATTAATTTAATAATACATTATAATAATAATAAATATCTTATTCCATATTAATTTATCCTAATAATTTCTTTTATTTATATAAAATATTAATAATGATTAAAATCTATCTATAAGAATTTAAAACGAAAATTAAGAGAAATACTTTTTAAAAATTTAATTAATATTATGAAGAATAAAAATATATAATAAAAAGTTATAGTTTTTAAAAGAGTAAATACTATAGATCAAAATACTCAATTAAGTAATAGATAACTAAAAATTTAATTATTTAATTTGAAATTAATTTAAGAACTTTAAAATAAATTTCACTCTAAAAACTAAAATAATCAGTGTTAATACAAATGTTTTGATTTAATAGTTAAGATATATTAATCATTTAAATAATTAATAAAATATTTTTATGTAAGTTAATAATATAAAAATATAAATAAGAATTTAAAATATTAGCAAAAATTTAGCTTAATAATAATAAATAATAACTGAAACTTAATCTAATATATATTATGAAGAATTTTAACCTTAAATTTTAAGATAAAAATACTTATTTATATAGAATATTTTATAAAATGTTTCATAAAATATTTCATAATAAATAAATAAAAATTTTTAATTAAATATGAAAAAAATAAGAATAAAAAAGCCATTCGATTTATATCCTGATATTAGTGGAAATATTTGAAACTCGGTATTGGCATTTGATGATTGAATTTATTAAAAAAATATTGAAAAAAACAAAAACCAATATTTCTTTGGATAATTTTCTATAGACGAAAACTGATAATAATTTATAAAAAAGAAGATATTAATGGCTAATATTATATAAGCTCTAAAAATTGAAGAATTTTAAAAAGTATATATAGGGTAATTCATTAAAGTTATGTTTATTTTACTTTAGATTAATCAGGAAAAGCTACTATTTAAATGTAAAAATTTATGATTTTACTGATTAAATAAAAGGGTTTAAAAGTTAAAGTAATGAAATAGAATAATTTCTTTGAAATATTATTAAGTTTAAGAAATTAATAAATAAAAATATACTTTTAAAGAATAAAAATATCTTAAATTTTTTTTAGTTCATTAAAAAAATGAACTTTTAAAATATGATTTTAATCTTTTATTTAATTATGATTCGTTAAAATTTATTAGATGGGAAAAATTTTTATAAAACTTTTATTAATTAGTTAATGGTAATATTTATGGCAAATTTTTTTTCTTTACAAAGTGATCGTTAGACTTTTTTAGATAGGTTTTGTTTATTTAAAAATTAGGGTTATTAAATTATACTAAAATAAAATATTAAGTATTAAGTAGTTAATTTAAAAGTATAAAGATTTTTTAAAGAAAAAATATAAAATAATTAAATAAAAATGAATTTATTGTAATGTGATTTCAAAGTGTGGAAAAAAATTGAAAAAAATGAGCAAACAAATTATATAAAAAATAGTAAATAATAAATAAAAATCTAATGACTGATTGATTTAAAATTTGATTTTTATTTTAAAAAAGATAGTAATAGAAATAATATAAAAGTGTATAAAAAATTAATAATGAAATTAAATAAATAAATAATTCAAAGATTAAGAAAAGAAATATAAATTTTAAATTGTGAATATATTATTATAGATAATAAAAGGTAAAAAATTAAATATTTTGAAGAAAAAGATTTTATTGATAATTAAATATAAAATAAATTAATATTAAAACAATTTATTTTACTTAAGTAAAAAAAATTTTGATAATAAAGTGATTTAAATTAAAATAGATTTATTAAAATAAATAGAACAAATATTATTAAATAAAAAAAAAAATTATGACAAAAAACAAATATATTATTATATTATTATAAATGTAAAAAATAATATCTTAAATATATTAAAATAATATTTGTAATTATATGTAAAAATAATAATAATAATGAAAATAATAATAATAATAATAATAATAATAATAATAATAATGATAATCATTTTTTGATTTTAATAGTTAAGAATGAAACAAAATCTATAAAAGAATAATTTGAAAAGATTAAGAAATTGAAATATTTTTTTAATAAAATTAACAAATAAGATTTCTTACTGAAACTAGCTGAATATTATTAAATAAATATGCGAAAATGCTTGTTTTAAAGATAATAAATAAAAAATTTTGTAAAATATATGAAAATTTATATAAATTTGTTGAATTAATCTCTCAAAAAAAAAAAAATTTAAATAATAATATATAAAAACAATTATGTTTTATTTATTATTTTCTAAAAGAAAAGTTATTTGAAATTTTATTAAATATATTTAATTGAAGATGAATAAAAAAATATATATTTAATAACTTTTACAAATTAAAAAGGAAAAATTTTTTAGAAAAACATATAAAATAAAACTTGAAAAAAACTAAATTTATAAATAATTGAGAAATTTATATTTAAAAAAAATCTGAAAAAAATCTTAATAATATTATTTAAATTGATGAAAATATATAAAAATATAATCAATTGACTTAAAATACATTTATTTACGACGATTAGAATAGTAATGATGAGAAATAATAATAAAAAAATATGCTAATTTAGAAGTAGAAATTAATTAAACAAAATATAAATTTATTTAATTAAATGGATGCATTTAAACTTAAGAATAAGTTTTTAAATAATTAGTTGAAAAATAAAAATATTAATATTTGAAATAAATTTATAGGAAATTAATAAATTAAAAACATAACTGAATTATTTGAAAAAGCTGAAAAGGATAATATTAAATTATTAAAAAATATTGAAATAATTCCCAATTCGAATAATTATTTACCTTTTAAAAGTTCTTTGAGGAAATATAGTGATATAATTTCTCATTTATTTATATAAAAATATTTCATAATTCGATATATAAATGGAAATTAAATAAAGGAAAGAATAATTGAATATATTACTAATAAAAATTTAATTGAAAAAATTGTAGAAGAAGTAATAAAAATTAACAATATTGAAATTAAAAAAAAAGACAAAAATAACTTTTTTAAAAATTATTTTCAAAGCCTATATGAGTTTGCAATATGATTATGATGTTTAGATAACTTGAAAATTAATAAAATTGTATTATTTTTTTTTAATTTGTGTTTATTTTTTATCTTAAATGATAGTTAATTATTTAACTATATTTGTTTCATTTTTATTTACTTTGTTTATATATTTATTATAACTTTATTTTGCATGATATATTATATTATTAAGTTTAATATTTTTAAAATATTTGTGTAATTTAATAAATAGAAAAAAATAGTTTGATATTATAGTTTGACAAAATAAATATTTTTCATTAAAAAAAAATATAAATAAATGAATGCCTTTGAAATAATAATGAAAACAAAATAAACTTCAAGTCAAAAAAAAAAAAATTAAACTAAAAAAGATTAAAAACTTTCAGAAAAAAAACCAAAATAATAAAAAATGTAAAAAAATGATGAAAAAGATTTTAGTTAATATGAAAAAATATTTCTAAATCCAACTTAAAATTCAGGTTCAGAACATAATTTAGAAATAAATAAAGAAGCATTTAAATATTGGGTATATAGTAATAATATTTAATAAATATATTTTATTATAATAAATAAAAAAAAATATATAGTATTATAGCGTTGGAAAAAGTTTTAGAAAATATTAATTCGATATAGTATAAACATGTTTAAAATATAATACACTGGTTGCTTTACCTACAGGATTAGGAAAAACATTTATTGCGGCTACTATAATGTTTAATTTTTATGTATGGTTTCCCAAAGGAAAGATATTTTTTTTGGCGCCAACTCGCCCTTTAGTGAGTTAATAAATGGAATGTTTAAAAATTTTTGAAAAAATAAATTAATAGGATATAATTGAAATTGTAGGAAATTTGCCGACTAAAAAAAGAAAGGAGTTTTACCAAAATAAACGTGTTTTTTTCTAAACGCCTTAAACTTTAGATAATGATCTATAAGAAAAAAGATATGAAGGGGATAATTTATGTTTAATTGTTTTTGATGAAGCACATAAAGCTACAGGGAAATATGCTTATACTAATATTATTAATTAATTAGAAAAGCTTCATTTTGGATATAGAGTTTTAGCTTTAAGCGCTACTCCTGGAAATTAATTTGAATAAATATAAGTATATATATTTTAGATATTTAATTATTTCCTTTTTATTAAAAAAAAATAAAAAATTAAAGGAAGTTCTAAAAAATTTAAAAATATGTAAACTAGAAGTGAAAGATGAGAATGATGAAGATATAAAGAAATATATGCATAAAAAATAAATATTTCCTGTAAAAGTATAAAATAATGACTAAATAAATAAAATTTAGGAAAATATTTCTAATTTAATATTTAATTGTTATTAGTGGTTATTATAATAAGGAGTAGTACCTTTTTATATTAAAATGAAAGTCAGATAACCTGTTGATATTCATAGGGGAATTTTTTATTCGATTTTTAAAAATTTTTATCAAAAATAACAAATATAAAATGATGTAATTGAAAAAGGAGGAACTATTGGCTTAACAGAAGTTTAGAATTAACTTTAAGTAAAAAAAAAGAATATAGGTATATTTTATTTTTCTAAATTTATATTTATAAATATAATAGACTTTTTCTTAATTAGTGCATGGAAAGAAAATTATAAATGAATAAGGAATAAATTGTTTCAAAGAATGGCTTTATTAATTCGAAAAAGAGATAAATGGCAAAAACGGAAGGCCGAATTTACAAAAGTAAGTAGTTTTAGCTGACAAGAATTTTTCTAGTTTAAAGAATTTTCTTAAAATGGAATAGTTTCAGCCTTTTTAGAAACATAAAATACCTACAAAAAAAGAAAGTAAATTATAAAAAATCGAAAATATTTAAGAAATCGAAGATGTTTAAGAAATCGAAAGTCATCCCAAAAGTTAGCAATTAATTTAAATTTTAGTTGATTAATTTTAGAATGAAAAAAATGTTTAAAATTTCTCCAAATCTATTGTTTTTACTTAAAATCGAAACTCGGCTTTTTAATTGAAAAAATTATTAAATTAATCCTCTGTATATATTAGAAGTGAAGTTTTTATAGGACAAGCTAATTTAGATGGATAAGGGATGAACTAAAAAGCTCAAATTCAAGTTATTAAGAAGTTTAAAAATAATGAGTATAATACCCTTATTGCCACTTGTATAGGAGAAGAAGGGCTCGATATAGGAGAAGTGGACGTTATTGTTTGCTATGATTCAGGATTTTCGCCTATTAGGATGATTTAGAGGATGGGAAGAACAGGAAGGAAGAGAGAAGGGAAAGTTTATATTTTATTAATGGAAGGAAAAGAGTATTTGAGTTATATATAAAGTTAGAAAAGACATAAGGCATTGATCAAACTGTTAAAAATTAATAGTATAGAAGGTAATTTTTAGAAAGGAAGTAATAAAGAGAAATTTTAATTTTATGGATTTAACCCGAGAATGATACCGGTAGATGTAAATCCATTATGTAAAATTATTATTAATGAATAGTAAGATTTAGTACTTTAAAAAACTACATTTTAGAATATTGAAGAAGTTTAAGAAAATTCTGATCTGGGTGAATTTAAAAAAAAACTAAAAAAGTTATTAGCCTAAGAAAAAAGAATAAAAAAAAGTAAAACTAGTTTGATTATAGAAGAGTTTTAAGAATAAGAAGAAGATGAAGTTTCTTTAAACCTTTAATAAATATTGGAAGATAATACGATTAAATAATAATAAAATCTAAATAATTAAGAAAATAATTAAATTATTTAAGATGATATGAATTAATAAGATTTAAATGATAGTAATGAAGAATACGATAAATCATAGTCTTTGGATAGTATTAATAGTGAAGAATTATTAAGTTAAATTTAAATTGAAATTTAAAAGCAGGATGCAAAAAAAGAAATGAACTTATAATTAAAATCAAAATATATTGAACCATAAATAGAAAAAATAGAAATTTAAAAAGAAAAAAAAACAATAATTTAAATTAAGAAATTAATAATAATCATATTATTAATAATATACAAAATGTTAATTAGAATGATGATAAAATTAATAATAAAATAAATAAAAATATTAATAATAATAATGATAAAAATAGTATTAATAATATTAATAGTAATAATGATAAAAAAAGTGAATCATCAGAAGAAGATGAAGATTTTTTAAATTATTTAAAATAGATTTCTTAATCATGCTCAATAAATAAAAGTAATAATAGGTTTTAAGATAATAGCTAATTTAATAATCATATTTCTTTGGATTCATTTGATTTTAATACTAATTTTCAGTAAGAATCTAACACTAATTTTTTAAATATTAAAGAAAAAATATTTAATAAAGTTTAATAATCAAATAAAAATGAAAATAGTAACAATACTTATTAAAGAAAAAATTAAACTATTAATATTAATTTTAATAATATAAAAAACATTTAACATAATAAGTAAGATATAAATTAAAATATTAGTAATAATAATAATCGATATTAGTATAATAGTAATAACAATAATTAAAATAAGTCGTTATAATAGTAAGTTTAATAATAAAGTAATAGTCATTTTTAAAGTTAAGCATAAAATAATTCTATAATGCAACTTTTAAATAAAATTGAAAGTGAAAGTAGTGGAGAAGAAGAAAATATTTAAGATTTAATACAATTTGCAAGTTAATACTCTTTAAAAAGAAAAGAATGCTCAAGCAATAATTTGTTATAAAACAATTTATAAAAATAATGTAAATTTAAATGATTTTAATAATAAAAATAAAATTGTTTTAAAATATTTTTAAATATATAAGCGAATTAAAATATATATATTAATAAAGTTATATATTTAAATTATTAATATAAAAATAAATAAATATATGTATATATATATATATATATTTATTAAATATTTTTATTTATATTTTTTTAATAATACATAATTTTTTACTAAGAATATTTTTTTTATTAATAAAATGATATTCCTATTATTAAAAATAATAATATATTTTTTTTAATATTAATTTGATATATATTTATAGTTATAGAATAAATTTTATTACTGATTATAAATTTAAAAATTATGATAAAATATTATTTATATTAAATTATTATAAATTTTTTATTTTTTAGCTTTACAATATAAGTATTTTATGATTTTTTTCTAAAAATAATTATTTTAATTAAACTAATTCCATATAATTTGAAAAAATAATAATAAATGGAAATTGCTTATTAAAATAATTAGTAATTCATTGACACAATAGATAATTTAATTTAATAGAGCAAATAAAATACACACAATTTATTTAATAAAATTAACTATATTAATGAAATGGAAACATTTAATTCTGAACATAATTTTCAAAACTAATTATAAATTAATTACGACTATTTTGATGAAGTATAAAGATTGAAATTTTAATAATTAGGGATTGATATATAATAACAATTGATGTAAATAAGTAATTAGAAAAATTTAAATTAAAGTTAAAATAGCTTAATATAAGAATAAAATATAAATAAAATCAAAATTATGAAATAATAGAGTAATATTTAAAAATATAATTAAAATATGAAGCTAAATGAAGATTAGACTATTAATTTAAATTAAAATAACAGTTTTGCTAAAATTGCATATTAATTCAACAATTTAATTAAATAAGTTAATTAAAGTATTGATAATAACTTCTAATGCCTTTTAAAATAAAAAGATTTAGAAACTAGTGATGAGAAAAATAATTAATAAATAGAAAATTAGCATTAAAATAAAAAATAAAATATGAATAATAATAATTAATAAAAAGTAGTAATTAACCATAACAAATTAGGAAAAAGAGAATGGAATAATTGTACTAAAGTAAAAAAAACTAACAATAATATAAAATAAATTCCTAGTATAATATAAAGTAAGTAAATTTAAATTTAAACTAGTTCAAATATTGAATAATAAGTAGATGATAAAGAAAAATAAAAGATTAAATAATAAAAATAAACTTAATAATAAAAATAAAAATAACAATAAATTAATGTTTAAAAAAATGAAAAAAATTCTTTTAATATTTTAAATAATAAGAAATAATAAAATTTTATTAATTAAATTTATTAAAAATAATAAATAACTATAACTCCTATATAAAATAAAAATTAATAAATTAATAAAATTTAATAAGCAAATAAAAGTAATTTAATTACTAATAAAAGTTAATCATTTAGTAAAAATTAACAATCTAACTCAATATAGTAACCGCAAGGATAATAAGATTTATTTGATTTAAAACAATTAAAAAAAAATACTACAAATTTACAATAAAATATTATTGAAAAATAAAAAAAACATAAAAAGTAATTTATATTATTAAACATTATTTAAAATAAATAAATAAATTAATATTTTTTGTTAATATGATAAGAGTTTTTCAAGTTAATCTGATTTAAGTAAATCTATTAATCTAGTTATTAATAATAAACCCTAAAGCAAATAAAAAACTTAAAAGCTATCTGTTTAAAAATAAACTTTAAAAAACTTAAATAACCTTCAATATGCATTAAATAGTTATCAAAATAAGTAATATTAAAATATATAATTAATATTTTAATTATTAATATTAAAAATAAAAGAACAAATGATTAAAAATTTTAGCATTATAGTTATTTAGAAACAAGTTTATAAAGTGTAAGAATTTTTAATAATTAAATTATTTTATTTTTATTTAAAAATAAATTTATAAAAGAATATATAAACAGACTTAAAAAATAAGAATATAATGAACAAAAATATATATGTATCATGAATTAAAATAAAAGACTTATTTTAAGAAATAATAATAAAAAAAATATTTAAAATGGATATATTTAATGTACATTTTTGGAATAATTTATTTTATAAAACAATAATTAAATATTATTAATTTAATTATTTTAATATATAATAATAATATATAAGATCTATAATTGAAATATAATTTATATTCTCTTTTTATCACAAATATAAATAATAATAATTTTAAAATATTTATTTTTTCTATAAATTCATTTACCCTATATTTATTATTTTTTAATTCTTTATTTTTCTGCTTTGTATTTTATTTCATAATCTATAATTTCATTTGTCCATTTATTATATTTTTCTCCAATTCTTTTGCACAAATAAAAATATTTATTTAAGCATTAACTTACACATTTGTCATCAATATATTATCCTTATTTTTTTAATTCCAATTATTCAAACAAATTTGATTATTTTTTTTCAACATTTTAATCTTCTTCAGTAGCATTATTATTATTAACAATTGAATCATTCAAATCAACATCAGGTACTTCTTTATTTTCTTATTCAATAACAAATTATTATTAAGGGGTTTAATATATTTTAGATGCACAATTATCACACCAGACAAACTCAACTAAATTTTTAATAAACCATTCACTTCTATTGATCTTATTTTTTTATATTTTTCTTTATTTTTTGCATATTATTGATTTGCATAAACCTTTTTCTTATTAAATTTATTAATATTTTATTTCCATATCATGTTATTTTTTTAATTTATCAATTTCAACTTATTTTTGAGTTGTCTCTTAACTATATACCATATTTACTTAAAATAAATAAATAAAAATACTATTTTATAAAAATAAATATTTACATAATATTCCTTTCATTTAAGGTGTCATTTCAGATAATAAGTTTTCCATTATTTATTATTGCTAATTATTTTATTCCTTTATTTTTTCAGTTAGTTTTGTGATAGTTTTTTGAATATATTTTTTGCATAGTAAATATAATTGGACTAATATTATATATGCAGTTAAAGCATAATATATTTTAAATTCTTAATAACTAATATTAATACATTAATATATAATAAAAGAAATTAATAAAACAAGTAAGTACATTAAAGTTTTTTTAAATCGTTTAATTAAATTTTAACTTGATTCTAACTTTTTTTTCAAATATTATTTGTCGTATTCATATTATTATAATTGCTTTTTTAAACCTTAATTAATAAAAGATTAGTCAATGCTTTTTTTTCCTATTTTATAAAAAATAAGCCAAGTAAAAATAACAAATAATCCTATAAATAATTAGTTTTATGTTATATAATTGGGAATCAAATCATTAATTCTAATCAAAGTAAATTTTAGAACTTCTAATCGTTTATCAAAGTCAATTTAAGAATAATAGTGTTAGTTATTAGATATAATTTCTTATTCTTAAGTATTATTTATTTTTTTCATTGAATATATGTTTTTTTATTTTTTATTAAAAGAGGTATTTTCTTAAAAATTAAATTTACTAAATTAATTAAAATATGTAAATTAACTCTTTTTTTGATTTGATTTAATAATTATAATAGATTTTGAATTTTATACTTATTCAACTAAAAATATAGTTTTTTACTTACAAAAAAATAAAAGTATATAAATGTATTTTTTTTTGAAAAAAAAAAGTCTAAAAATTATGTTATTCTATTTAAATAAATCAAAACCTTCCAAATAATAATTTATTTGAACTTTTTTTCAAATAGCTTCTTTTATTCATGGCAAAAATTTCTTAATCGAATAAAAAGGGCGTAATACAACCATCACT